TTTTTTTGTGTATTATTATTGGTAAATTTTTGTATAATGTGTATTAGTAAATGTATTTTTTATGCTAAATAATTTGTGTAATGTACTTTTTATGTTAAATATTTTGTGCTTTTTATTTATTGTTGTGTTATAATTTTATTTTACAATTTTTTAATATTAAAATGATACCATTTGAATAAAAAATTTTCTTATCCTATATTTGTATTTTAACTACATCTTCATTTTAAAAGTGAAGAAAATACATATACATCTATGTACCGATTGAATCAAAACTATTACTTTTGAAAATATATGATTTAGTGCAAATTTACACTCTAGACCATATATGGTCTAGCGCATATATTCACATTTTAAAAACTGTTACTTTTTTTAGTAATTTACACTCTAGACCATATATGGTCTAGTAATTATTATGAAAAATATATAATTAATATTCACTATATCAAATATTATATGAAAACATATAAAATTAATATATAACAAAACAATATTTTAATAAACATGGGTTAAAATGAAAAAAAAAAAGTAAGACAAATAAAAGGAGGGACTAAAATGAAAAAAAAAAAAGTTGGGACGCAAATTATGCGTCCAGACGCAAATATGCGTCCAAGGAGATGAGAGAGAGGAGAAAAACGCAAATTGCAGATGCGTTTGGAGTTCGGTTGGAGCAATCTTAACTGCAAAAAATGGGTTTTGGTGTTCGGTTGGAGAAGGTCTAATAACCTGCTGGAACATAACCATAGCTGAGTACAGATAAATAAAATATAATAAAACTAATTCATTCTCAAAACATTTACATAAAATGTGCTACATGAAAAAAAAAAAAGAAGATAAAAGCGTCGAATCAATAATTTCTAATTTATAAAATTTGCCATTACAATAATACTCATGAACATATACTTCCACGTCGACATTGGTGTCATTAACTTATCGCTGATTCAACAAAACTAGAGCACAAACGGATAAAAATGGCAGAAGTCCCAAAGATATTATTCAGATATACGAAAAAATTAGAGTTAGTAGAAGATTCAACGCCATAGTCCACTGTATAAATAGGTATGTAAAAGATGGAGAAACAATACCATCGGAAATGGGCGTTAGAAGGCGGCGCGACGGCGACGAGGCTGCAGCTTAGTGAACCCTAGTTTCAGAGACCAGTAATTGTCGTTTTTTTTTTTTTTCATATATATATATCATCTCATAAATAGTAGTGAAAATTGCACTGACCTCCCTAAACTTCTTCGTGTTATAAATACACCCCCACTAAGATGGCTCTAATTTTTTGAACTTTTTAAAAAATCTAGAAATGGACTTTCTTATCCTCTCCCCTTATATATTAATCCAGAACATGCTGAGCCTACATAGCTACTTCTGGTGCTTCGTAATTCAATATTGCAAAATTATATTATTAGGCTTGGGTAAATTTTAATTTAATTCCAAATCAAAAATAATTAGGTTCGAATTACCAAAAATATGTTGATTATTTATGGTCATGTTACATGTATTAATTACATTTCAATATCATTCCTTATTATAAATATTGAATTGTATATATATTTTAAAAGTTAATTTTGTATTTTTTATCAGTTTTACATATGTAATATATCAAATTAATCGTCTTTTGATGAGCTTCGATTTAACATCCATATTGTATGTATACAAAAATAATTTATATTTATCTTTATAACAATAATAAAATTATTTTTAATATTAATTAGAAAAATAAAATTATTTATCAACTAATATATTTATATTTCAAGCAGTTATAATATGATATAAGTTATAAAAACTAATATAATATAACACATGTAAGTCATAAGTAACACATATCATTCTAAAATATAGAGTAATATATTCTTTTTGTAAAAAAGTAAACTAGATTTTTATAATTTTTTCATTAATTTTAAAATTTAAAAATAATTTTTTAACAAACACCCGTATAATACACGGGTGTTGTACTAGTAAGTCTTTTATTTAAAATCCTGAAGCTATTTATTGGAGATTTTTGTTTTGTTTTTGTTTTTTTGTTTTTTTTTTTTTAAAGTTGAGTTATTCATTTTATCTTGTATAATATACTTTTTTTTTCAAAAAAATAAATTAGCAATGAAGTTCTGAAAGAATTTATATATATAAAATAAAAAGAGATGTTACGATCTCGTTGCGGAACCATACTTTCGAGATTTGTAACCGTTAGATCAATTATCTTTGTTGGTCACAAGATGATCTAACAGTTACAAAACTCAATGGAATAGTTCGCTAATAGCAGCATTTCCCTAAATAAAAACGAACTCCTTTAACAAAATTGTTATAAGAACGGAACGTTCAACCAATATAAAACGGGGGGAGCCCTGGGAATGCAGCAGTGTTAAAACTCTTGAGGGAGAACTTTGCTGCCCTTGTGGTCCTACCCGGCTCCATTCCGAATTAGTCGGTTCCCCTGTGGATTCGGAAACCGGAAGGTCCCTGTACCAAAAAAAAATAAATATAAAACGGGATAAAGTCCTTCAAATTCAATTAATAAACATAGAAATCCCTCATTCAACAAATTTCGCCTACGCGCAACGCAAACTCTCTGTTGAATACCAATTATACCCTCAGCCGCCCCTCGAATTCTCCATCTCTACCAACGATGTTCATGCTGGTCAACTGCTCCCATTGCCGCACGCCCTTGCAGCTGCCGCCGGGGGCCAAATCCATCCGATGCGCTATTTGCAAGGCCATCACGCAGATCGCCGATCCGCGCCAAGCGCCGCCACCGCCGTCTCCCGCCCCTCCAGCCCCGCCCTCTCCCTACACCCACGCGCCGCCTGGACCCCCGCCCAACGCCCACGGCCGAAAAAAAGCTGTCATCGTCGGAGTATCCTATAGATACTCCCGCCACGAGCTGAAAGGATGCATCAACGACGCTAAATGCATGAGACATCTTTTAATCAACAAGTTTCGCTTCCCGGAGTCTTCAATTCTCATGCTAACTGGTAATAGGCCTGTTTATGCTATTATTTTCTTGATCATTTGTGTGATTTACATACATTAATTGTGGGAATATGAATCAGTGGTAAGTTAACTGGATGGGGGTACAGTTTTTTTTTTTCTTTTTTTCTCTCTCTTGCCTTTTTGTGCGTCTATTCTCGGATTAATTTTGTAGATGCTGAAGAGTTAGGACTGTGGAATTAGGGGCAAAAAACTTTAGAAACCTAACTGGTATAATGTAAAAAGCTCCCAACTTTAAATTCGGATTATGAAAACGAAAAAAAGAAAGGAAGAAATCTTCAGAATACCTAATTTGAGTGATGCATTTAGCTGACACTTGATCAGGTACTGGTTACACACTATCTTGTAGCAACTCGTTTTAATGGTTCGTTTGTATTAGGAAAAGAACTACTTGGGCTCACGTTAATTGTGTACTAGAACCTTAGCTATGGAGTTTAGTTTTACCAACCTGGATTTGTGTTCTTCACCATCAACTTATTCTATGCATATTCAATCTTTCAAAGGGCCGATCTTCAGAGCCTTTGTTATATATTTGAACAATGTAGAACGTGCAGTTCCTTTCCTTTCTAATTTAATGGTTTATGTAATTACATTTTGCTATCGCCTTACCAACGAGGAAAAAAAAAAAGGAACAGTGGCATTGTAGAGCTTAGTACTGTTATATATATAGTGAAGCAATAAACAAGTACTAGCGCTCGAATAGATTACTTCGCGTAAAATCCTTTTTTGGAAATTTATTTCACGAATCAAACAAATAAATGTATTTTGCCCCCTTTTGGTGTTGGAATTTTTTTTTTGTAAAGATGGTACTTCTTAATGGCTGACTTTTGTTGGTGAACTCAAATACAGAAGAAGAAACTGATCCCTACAGAATCCCGACCAAGCAAAATATGCGGATGGCAATGTTTTGGCTTGTACAAGGATGTCAGCCTGGGGACTCCTTGGTGTTCCATTATTCTGGTCACGGTTCTCGCCAAAGGAACTACAATGGAGATGAAGTTGATGGATATGACGAAACCTTGTGTCCTCTTGATTTTGAAACACAGGGTATGATTGTGGATGATGAAATTAATGCATCTATTGTCAGGCCAATACCCCATGGTGCCAAGCTTCACGCCATAATAGATGCCTGCCATAGCGGAACAGTTCTTGATTTACCATTTCTTTGCAGAATGAACAGGTGATCTAAATGTTTTCTCTTGATTAGTTTGAAAATTGAATTTTCTCTTGATTAGTTTGAAAATTGAACACTCTCATATCTTATGTTCTTGGAAGTTGGGAATTGGTTGTTGCTAGTTTCTCGAAACACAAATAAAGTGTCTTACTAAATGAAGTTTCTCAAAGGTGGTAATAGTATGATCTTAAAAGCAATCATTCACTTGTTTGGTGAGTACAAGCATCTTTCCTTTATTTGAGTTTGGTATATCTTTTCTTGTGTTTGTAAGTTTTACTTCCCACTTCCCGATAGTGGACATTAAATATTTGTACGTGAAACGAAGTTGAGATCCTGTACTAAGCGGCAAATGGTTTTCGAGACTGGTTAACGTGATTTCAAAAGAATGACTAAGTGTCAGTTGAACATAAATGTATCAGAGATAATCATGTTCAAAGAAGGTAAACCACTTTTGTTGGCATAATGTCTATTGTATAGTATGTTTGACTAATTGCCCTCATCATTATGAACAATCTGGAAATAGGAGTGGACAGTATATATGGGAGGATCATCGTCCTCGATCAGGTGTGTGGAAAGGATCGAACGGTGGTGAAGTAATTTCCTTCAGTGGCTGCGATGACGATCAGACCTCGGCCGATACATCTGTAAGCTCGTTTCTAATATTTTAATCACAGTAACAAAATGCTCAGTTTCAGCTGGTTAACTGGGTGTTGTGTAGGCTCTATCAAAAATCACCTCAACTGGGGCCATGACATTCTGTTTTATCCAAGCCATCGAGCGTGGCCATGGGACCACATACGGGAGTATACTAACAGCCATGAGAACTGCAATTCGTGATGCGGGCAGTTCGGGTCCTGACCTTGGAGGCGGTGTCGTCACATCACTTTTGACTATGCTTCTTACGGGCGGTAGCGTGAGCGCAGGTGGCCTTAGACAGGTATTTAATATTTTCATATTATAAGATTCTCATTTGTTTGCACTTGCGCGCTCAATGTGTGCAATTTGTTAAACTGAAACAGTAATAATGGGTGTATGTAACTTGAAACATAACCGAGTCATCCTTGGTGAACAAGATTTTCAAGTTTGAGTTGTGAATTTTATCTTTTTGTTTGTTCTGGTCACAGGAACCCCAACTCACTGCTTGTGAACCTTTCGACGTGTATGCAAAGCCATTTTCTCTATAATCGCTTTCACGCATAAATATGGTCCGATTCAGGAAATTGTGTTTTTACCATTATTTACGCTGTAATTTTTTATTTTTACTTGTGGGAACCGTGTTTCTCGAATGTGCAGTTGTTTGTAAGAACATTGTATTTTATGGATGTCTAGAGCGGAGGTGTGCCGAACCATGTGAGTAAATTGTGTTGAGTGCTTATTTTTTGGGACTTAAATGCAAAATTTAGATTATTATACATCCACTGAGAATGGTTTAATTTACCAAAACCAAAACATAAACCCAAGCAACCAACCCCCCCCGTCCATGTGATGTCAATGATACTGCAACTCTACTCTGTTATATTAAAAATCTCACCATATAAAGCCTCTGATGGTGAGATGGGACATAATTTTTCCTTATAATAATCATACAAGTGTTGAATAGCAGCAGCAAAAAACATTAAAGGACATTTCAACAAAGCCTGCTGCCATCAATCTCTCAAAGGTGAGTATTAGGAGGGTTCAAATCTCAAAAGAAAGAAATAAATCAAGAAATAAAAGGAGCGATGATCATAAAACAAAACATCAAGAGCTAGCTATAATAAGGAAAATCAAAACTATTTATTGGGTGGACGGAACTTCCTTCGATGCTCTCTTTTTACAGATCGAATTCGATATTTTCCTTTTTTGTAAAAATAAAAAAAGAAATGTCATTTGTTTATGCCACAGCCACAGTCGTCCCACCTGTCCTAACAGCAGCTGCTTTGTTGTTGGTCATGATGTCGGACGACTCTTTAGCTGCAGATTCCGAATTAAGCTGTCTCATCATCATCATCATCACTGATTTCGATTTCTTGGAAGAGGAAAGTTTCAGTCTTTTCTCGGTGGCTTCATCCATTTCCATCTGTTCTTGCCGGCACTCTTGGCTACAAAACGGCGTGTTCCCTCTGCAAATTAAT